TTTACAATGACTATATTTCCAAATTTAGCATTTACTATGTATTAACTTTAGTGGTTAGAATACCTTGGAGGCATTTTATGCCTTTACATTCAAGTTGATTTAACTCCTAATTCTGAGATGCCTGTGGTAAAATGATAGTGAAGGTGAAACTGAATCCCTTTCATTTCAGAGCCACAAAGCTCTCTGCCAACAGAAAAGCAGCATTATTTTCAACACCTACAAGCTACAGAGGTGACAGTTATCAGGACTCCCACTGTGAAGAAAGAAAACCAGCACACAGTGAGATTATGGTTGCACAAATTTTAGGGACAAGATAAACAAGCCACCAGATTTCCCTTTCCCTAGGGTCATGTACCCTGTGCCTGGCCCAATTCATTATCATTCACTCACTCCCTCTAAAATCATTTGTTGAGCACCTGCTGAGTAATGAGCACTGTGCTGGGCACTGAGCACATGACAGTGAGGCAGCCAAATCCACAGACTACCTTCTGGGAGCTTACAGTCAGTGTTCAAGCATGTGCAGTCCAGCTTTCTACTCTCCCACTTGCAATCTCGCCTCTCACCATGCTCCTGAGTCAACTGCATGAGAAAAGAATTGGAAGCACAGAGAACAACAGAGGGACTGAACAGTTATATTTTTAATTTCTAGTCAGATCCCCAAAACAGCTTAAGACATTAAGCACAGTGTGGGTAGCAAGAGATCCGTAACCAGCAGTATATTCTGGATCTGCTGTGGGGTCCTAAAGGACACTGTGGGGGGAAAACCAAGGGTATGAGAAGTACTGGCTAAAAATGGCTCAGGAAGGGCCTCGAACAAAGAGAGAGAAAGGGAAAGAGAGGATCTGGTTCCTCACCAGCCAGGAGCACTGGTTAGAATGCTTGTGTTAGAAAATGCATACTTTCCATGTTTCCTTACAGGAAGTATCAGCTGGCCATTACCCAGGGCCAGGGTTAAGTGTTACCAAGTGGAATACACAAGTGTTTAGGCCTTTGAATTCCTCCCCTATACAGCGACCGTGTTCCTGGCCTAGCCTCCTGCCCCTACCCCCCACCCCCCACCCACAGTTATTTCAAAGTATAGTGCACCCAGCATATCTTGGGGAGACATTAGAGTTTTTCCAAAATATTTGGAAGGGAAAACCCAATGAGGACCTGCAGACAAAGACAGAACTTTTCTCTATAGAGATGTGCAAATGGAGACCACACAGTGTTACTAGTTGGTCTGCAGGGCATTTTTCAAAAGGAGTCTTCCTCATGTTTTAAACTGGCATACACAGACTTATGGCCTAAAACAGCATTTTCACACTGAGTCACAATCCATTAGTGAGATGTGAAATCATGTGGATTCAGCCAATATTTTTTAATGAAATAGAATAAAATCAAATAGCATAGAATAGGAAATATTAGACTACATTGTTGGTAATAAGAATATACATTGTTTTATGAAACTTGTTTCCATTCTATACACACATACTTTGTATTCTATACATACCTATATCTCACTATCTAAATCTGTTTGGTTCCTAAGCAATAATATATATTGCAAAGGATCCTATAAAACTCTGCTTTAACTCGGTTGCCATATAAATGTACTCTCTTAAACTGAACAGCAGTTTTGGTGGGGGGAGGAGGGGGTGGGAATTGAAATTCACTAGTCTAAAGAAACTATAGTTAAGTAGAATGGAAATTTTAAAAAAATTTATCCCAAAATAATTTAACACACTCTTCTTTTGTACTAATTATGTTTCATTTGGTTTCCCTAAACTTTTGTGTATGGGGATACATCTAGTTTTGCTACAAACATTCTTTCAGTCTCCTGTTACAGAGAGAAACACAAGGTGGGAAATAACTAAAAACAGGACATGGGTTTGGATGCACAAGGCCAAATCCCCACCACAGGGCAGCCCAGGCCAAATCCTGTCCCTCCATGCGCCAAACCACTGGACAGAATCTGGAGAGAGGCAGGCTCTTTTCTCCCATAGAAAAGCTTTTAAAATGCCAATTTCTCAAATCACTGGGCAAAGGACCAACTGCTCTCTAGGATAGGGAGCCCTAAAAAGGATCATGGCCAACTTATATTTATGAGCAGAACTGAATGTGTTGGGTCATCAAGGTTTTTGTAAACTTTTTAACAAACTCTATAAACAAAGCAGTATTTTCAACTGTGATTTTAGAAAAATTAAATTAGTTTGCCTGATACTCTTAAATAATCCTTCTTACCCCTACTCCTCACCCTTATCCATATATATCTGTATATATTAGAGAGAGAATAAAATAAAATAAAATAAAATAAAATAAAATAAAATAAAATAAAATAAAATAAAATAAAATAAAATAAAATAAAATAAAACAACAAACAAAATAAAATAAAATAAAATAAAATAAAATAGCTATCACATGGCCTTGCCCTACCTGTGAAACAGTGCTGCCAGCACTATCCAGAGGCTTCAACTAGCTTTTATTGAGCTCCCTAAAATTTCCAAATATATCCTCAGGGTGTGTTTCCCTAATAGTCACATGTCCAATCTTAATTCAGGACTCACCAGCTTGCAACAGATAATTGTAACAGAGGAATGACTACTTACAAATGAACTTAATCTAGTGGGGACTGTCTACACCCTGGAACTAACCACAATGGCGCCCCACAACACCAAGATCATTATTCCCCTAGCATCATAATGACAACTGTGTTACTAATGAATTAACTATTTTGGCCTTAGAATCACCGACGTCAGGCAGATTTGGCCCAAGACTGGGAGTTAAGAGAGTAAAGGCTTAAAACCAACTGAGTCTCAACTTTATCATGAGTGGAGGAAGAAAGAGGACTTTTGTCAGTCAATATCTACAATTATAATTTTTTGCATTCTCTGGCTATATAGATTCTTAGTAATTATATCTGTAACATTAGTTGCTTTAAGGTTTAGGCTTATCTTGTTGAAAAAAATAACTTTGATCATTCAGTGACATTTCTCAAAGTCTCAGCCAAATGGAATAAGCATGCACCTTGCCCATACTGCCAGCTACAGAGAACTTACCCAATACACATGACTACCGAAAAGCAGCAAGAGAAAGAATTTTTAGATCTCTCAAAATATTTTAATTCTGTGATTTTCAAGGTAATCAAACAACTTTGCACAGTGAGAATCTTAGCAATATATAAATGATTTATATTTGTGTTGCAAATTTTACTGCAATTATAGCACAAAGCTTTTTTTTTTTTTTTTTTTTAATAAACTTCAAGTTCCTTAGGTTTTCCCTATGAAGTCTACCATCCCATAGACAGGTACAATTGGCAGTTTATTTCTTTTTTCTAACCACTTTTCCATTCCTCAAATTAAGGAAATTTCTTGAGTTTCCTGATAGCAAACCCTATTCATAAAGACATCATGTGCTAATGATAAGTCCGAATCAATTAGAGGCCTCTGGGGTAAATTTACTCAGAAAGCAGTTAGATTTGGTGGTGGGGCAGTCCCTTTAGCACCAGGAGGCACTTCCTCTACGAGGTGGCAGTTTCTAAAACACCACGTAAACAATTGTAAGAAGATTATCTCTTAAATCAGAAATTTACACTGCTCCAGTGCAGCTCACCACACAATTGTAAGATTCAAAACTGAAAGGAGACACTTCACTTCCAACCTACTAATGAATGCACACAACAGCACATCTTCAGATGAACAATGAAAATTTTGATCAAAGTAGGCTATTTATATACATACTGTTCAATGCCCAAGTATTTTAGAACATTTTTAAACAATGACAATTAAATTTTCATTCTGAAGTTTTGCCTTTCTTGCACACCTTCTGTATTCCACGAGCCATTAATAGTAGTGGCAAATGGAGGGGGGGCAGGGTAGGTAATCCTTACACATTCCCACCAAGTACCAACATCCATAATCCTGCACTGTGGTCTCCAATTGCATTAAAAAAATTGGGGGGGGGGCTCTTATCTAAACTCTTTCCAACAAAAAGAGAGTAGAAAATGAAATTGCAGAGAAGTATTAAATACAGAAGCTTCAACTTGTCAACATTGAAATTACATTTTCAGATTCCCTATCATAAAAGGCCTGGATCTAAAATCAGTGTGGAGAAGAATTTTTACCTATGGATAACAGAAAGGCAAGAAGGAAAAAGGAAGAAGAGAAGGGAAAAAAAAAAAAAAAAAAAAAACAAACCAATTTCCAGTGGATAAAAACATGAGAACATATGGCATCTTCACATCGGCCAACCGCTTTCTACCTGTTTGGATCTTCAGAGGAGGGATGAGGGACATTTCTGCAACCCCAGAGAGATAGCTTTCTGCATACATAATTTAAATAAATCACTCCAGCATGAAAGAAGAGCAGCAGAACTCTTCTAATTACCACTGCCTGGACCTCATGTGCTGCTTTTTCTTTAAAGCCACACTAGTTCATTATTCTGCCTTCAACTCTCTGAAATGATTCATTCCCCCCTTCACTCCTGAGCAGACTCTGCAGGGAAGCTAGTATTTAAGTTTAATTTCTAGTGCCACTTGCTTTGGAGAGTTGGATGAGAAGAAGAAGGAAGAATCTAATTTAATAATTCTGTCACGGTTTGGAGGCGCACCCTCCGCCCCTACCCCCAAAAAATAACTCGACAAACAAGACCCTCTGGCAAGCTATAATCGTGAGCGAAGACACCAATCGGGAAAGGAGGGCCCACGTGTGGTGGGAGCTGTCACCCAAGGCAAGTGGCAGCCGGCGAGGAGGAGGGAGAGAGGGCGGGAGAGAGGCTGCTGCTTGCAGCTGCACCGGCCTGGGCGCTCCGAGAGAGACCCGACTCCAACTGGAACGTGCTTAGCTCTCTCCTAGACGCTAGGCGGGGAGAAATCAAAGGGCAGGGAGGCTGGATCCCGCGTCTTCGGGAGCTGTCCCTCCGAAAAAAAGGGACAGCCCCCGGAGCGCGCCGCGGGCTTCCCCAGAAGCCCGAGCTCGCGCGCAGGACGCGCGGCTCCACCACGTCCAGGGCGCCCCCCGCCTTACCGTCCCAGCTCCGACTCCACCTCGAAGAAATCGCTCAACGCATCCCTGTTGGAACCTTCGATCCAGTAATCCGGGACGAGGCTCCCGGCTCCTGGGGCCACACTGGCGGTGACCGAAGAGCAGGACGAGGAGGAGCACGAGGGCACCGTGACTTTGAGCATCTTCGCGGCGGGACTCCGGAAGCCGCCACCACTGTCGCCGCCGCTGCCGGAGCGAGAAGCCCCGCCGCCCGCCGCCGCCTGCGAACGCAGGAGCAAGAGGTGGCGTCCTTCACACACACGCACACACCCACCGCCGCCGCTGCCGCCGCCTCCCCCGGCGCCCTGGGCCGCGCGCAGGCTGCGGCTTTCCTCCTGCACGCTCGAGAGGGAGGGAGGGAAGGAGGGTGGGTGGAGAAGGGGGCGAAGAACCGGGAGAGGGTGTGGAGGGAGAACCCGGTCGCTGTCAGCCGGAGAGGAGAGGCGGAGGCACTGCAAAGGAGAGAGATTCCCTCCCCCTTCTCTCCCTCCCTCCCCACGTCCCCTCCTCCCTCCGCCGAGCCTTTCCAGCCCCCTCCCTTTTTTCCTTTCTCCCTCCCAGGCTGTGGCTGCGGCGGTGCCGGCAAGGGCGGCTCCGGATGCGGGAGCTTGGGGAAAGCACGAGGACCAGAGCATCATCCCACGCGCCCTCCCGCGGGAGCCGGGAGCCTGGAAAGGACCGCTCGCAGTGGGACGCTCGCTCCAGGAGTGGCGGGCGCCCCGCGCTCTCTGGGAGCACAGGGCTCTGGACCACCTAGCAGAAGGGTGAGAAAGCGACCTGACTGTTGTTGGCGCCACTCATCCCTCCCTGAGCGCGTCCAGGTGGCGAGTCCCTCCCACCTAACACCAGCTAACCAGCCATCCCTTGTGCGTCCCTCTGTCAAAGCTTATACTGGCGGCTGGGGAGGGTGCCCTGTGGTCGCCGATTTCCCAAGGCTCCTGTGCCCGGCCCCAGGGAAAGCTGGAGGATAAGGAAGCACCTGGGTCCACAGTGACCTGACTCACCTTTGAGTGAGTCTTCAGTTGGATGAGATGCTAGGGTGCTGCCACTGGCACTGCCTCCTTTAGCACTGCTGGAGCTCCTGAAAGGGCAGGTGTTTGCCTCCTCTAGTTCACTCCCAACCCTGAAGCTAGAACAGAAATGATCCAGAGAATTACAGGTCTGGAAGGGCCCTCTGCAAGCCTTAAGGCAGGACCTGTTCCCATTCATGACAGAGAAGATTGCTACATTTAAAGCACTTTCCTCCTCCCAAGAGATGTGCCCCATCACAGGCATTCCACTGGCTGTCTGCCAGCCTTCAGGCTAGTCTTCCAAATACTGGTTAAATGTATATCATTTATATTTCTACCCTTGAAATTTTTCTTTCCAGATTTCAGCAAAGATAAACAACAATCAGTCATATTCTGTAATATATCTTTATAAAGTTATTACATCACACCTATTTCTGACTAAATAACTATGAGGCCCTTTCTTTAACCTTTCCTTCACAGGTGTTACTTTCAGTATTATTATTATTTTTTACTTTCCTCCAACATGCACTAAACTCTTCTCATGTGTTCCCATCCCTGATAACACGGTAAACACAGTCCATATTCTCCTATAATTTATTGATTTATTTCTGGTTCTTAAAACCTTTCATGCTATATTAGTGAACTACAAAAAAAAATCACCAAATAGTGATAGGAATATGATCCTTAGTTGATTGGAAATGAAAAAATAAATATAAAAACTATTCCTCACAGGTAATTTTATGAAGATGAACATATGCTCAATTTACAAATGGACTAAAAATAGTAAGTATATGTACATTCATACAAATTCAGTGTCATTTTCAGACTGAAAATGCTCATGTGACATTATTTTTCAGAGAATGAACTCCATAATCTTCATGTTATAAAATCAAGTTCATACGCAAAGCAAGTAAATTCTAGTTCTCATGAAGTAAGTGTCCCTTGGCTTGCACTGTCTGGTGGAGGAAGAGCATGAAGTGGTTGCTAGGCCATTTTTATTCACACTTCTCTGAGGCAAGTTCTAAAGTTGCAGCACTACATGCACATACTTGTCTGTTGTGAGCAATTCTTTTACAACAGAAGTCCAAAGCAAGCACATTACATTGCAGGAGATGATAAGTCTTTTTACTCTTGCTATTTTGGGGAACAATAGCTAGAGAAACATCATTTCATGGCACAGAGGACATTGTAGAGTTGATATTTACATTCAACACCGGTTTAGTCATTTGATACCTATGCTTTTCAAAACTGACTTTTGTAAAAGTACTATCAACTGATGTTTCAATAGAGGGTATCTGGTTTAACGAATCAGTTTATGTTTATTTAAAAACATAAGATGAAAATAAGTATTATTTTAAAAAATGTGGAAAAGGACTGAACCATATGATTTATCTTAAATATCATCTAAGATGACCAGAAAAAGAACAAAGGCATATGTCCATAAAAAGAAAGGGAGAAATAGTATCAACTAAATCTCAGAATCTAAGAACAGATGGAAAAATAGTAACTGACTTAGAAGACTGGGTATACTCAAAACCCAGATTTGTAATGGAAGAAGCCAATAAGAAGAAATCTAATTCTTACCACAGAATTCCAGAAATGCTTAGGAATTGACTACCAGATCTTTCTAAAGTTGGGGCAGAGAATAAGACATTAGTTGAACACTTTCATAAGAAGTTCTTAGGCCCCTATATTTCTTCTTCTACCATTCACTGCCAAAAAACACACTTTCTTTTCCAAACCCTTGGAAAGGGGAAGAGATTTAATCTTTGGGAATGTTGAATAAACAATGAAATGTCTTACATCACAAGGTACAGTTCACACTGTACAGCTCACCCACAAACAGAGGGATTCATGAAACACTACATAATAAAATGTGAGATTTCCAGGTCCACCAGACTCCCAAAATACTGACAAATAGGCATAGGTCTATCATATTCCCAGCCACACAAGAAATTAAAGGATTCCTCACTGAGAAAACTAAACAATCCCAGAAGAGAGGGACATAAGGATACTGACAATTAAGATACTCCCCCACAACAAAACATCCTGATTTTTCTCAACACCTTACAGTGAAGCCTATCATTCAACAGGCTCAGGGACCCAAAGCTTCCAATTACCTATTTTTTTGTCTCACTCATACACACATGGCTAAGGTTCCATTCTGGTATGGCAGAGTAGCTGGTATGACTAACCCTCTATATATAACAATTATAATCTCTGGATTAAATATAAAAAGAGTTATTTAAATGTGCAAAAGACCTACCAAAATCAGAAAACTGAAAATAATGCAACCCACAAAAGAAAGGAACTTTTCTGAATTAGGTACACATTTATTTAGCTTTTCCCTGAGGACTCTACAGGCAACACAACTCTCAGTAGCTTAATGTGGCAGAATACAGAATTCAGGGCTGGCAGAAAGGCTAGAAATTGAGAAGAAATTCCAGAAAGAAGGGAGCACAGTGAAGGAATCCAAAAATCTACATATAAACTGAGCTCAAATACTAAGCTAATCTCTGAACTACGCATATGTGTGGGAAATTCCAAGGAACTTAGCAGAAAGCACAAAGCAATAACTGGAAAGTTGAAAGTTGCGAAAAAATTTTAGCTGTTCCTCACCACAGGAGAGACATGGTTTGGAGTATCAGTTTCACCAAGTTTAATTGTGTGTTACAAGAAAGAAAAAAAAAACTTTAGGAAAGATAACAGAATCCAGAATCTCTGCAAGGAATCACTGACAATCCAGTATACAATTAAAACAAAAATACTAGATATGTGAAGTGGTAGAAAAATTTGAACCACAGTCAAAAGAAAAAAATCAATCAACAGAAACCAACACTAAGATGATTGATAGACTGATATTCATAGTCAAAGGATTTAAAATAGCTATTATAAATATGTTCAAATAATTTTTAAAAAGATATTCACAAGTGTACATCTGGGTAATACTATCAGAGAAATGGAAACTATCTAAAAGAAAACATTGGAAATTGAAGAACTGAATGGGCAAACTATCTGAAATTTGAAAAAAAAAATCACTTAAAGAACCTACAGAAGAGTTAAGATTGGAGAGGAAAGAATGGGTGAACCTGAAGACAGAATATGGCATCTAATTTCTAAGATAGTCCCCACTAATCATCTCCTGATAATCATGCCTTTCTGAGTTCACCTACCACAGTGAATTGGGTTGACCTTTGTGACAAATAGAATACGGCAGAAGTGAAGATGTGTGACTTCTACAGTCATAAAAGCATTACAGATTCTGCCTTGATCTCCTAGATTGCTCATTCTGAGGCAAGCCAACATCCATGCCATAAGGATTCTCAAAAGCTGCATGGAGATGGTGATGTGGAGAGGAACCAACTTATCAACCACATCAGTCAGCCATCATGGAAATAAATTCCCCAGCCCCAATCAAACCTTCAAATGACTACAACCCCAGCCAACATCTGACTAAAATCTCATAAGAGACCAGAGCTGAACCACAAAACTATTCAGAATTTCAAATAACTCAGAATTCTGGATTCATAGAAATTGTGGGAGATATATGATATTGCTGTTTTAAGTCACTAAATTTTGGAGTAATTTGTTTTTCAGCAATAACAAACCAATAAAAGCAGAGCTATAGAAATTATTTAGTATAGAGAACAATAACAACAAAGAAATAAAACAAAAAATTAAAAGGAAAAAGGGTAGGGGGACAAGTCTCAGTGAATTATAGGACAATATCAAGATACCTTACATATCACTGGGGTTCCAGGAGATAAAGAGAAAGGACTGGGGCAGAAAACTTATTTGAAAAAATGGCTGAAGTTTCCCCAAATTTAGGTTAACATCAGCTTATAGATTCAAGAATTTCAGAAACCTAAACAAAATAAGTAGAAATAAAACCACATCTAGACCCATCTAAGCCAAATGCTTAAAAACAATAGATTGAAAAAAAAATTTTTTTTTGAAAGCATCCTCTGCTGCAGGGGGGGCCGGGGGGGTGGGAGGAGGAAGACAGAGAAGGAGAGAAGTATATTACAGATTATAGGGAAGTAATAATACAAATGACAGATGACTCCTCATCAAAAATAATGTAGGCCAAAAACAATAGAATAATATCTCCAAAGTTATTTAACTTTGAAAAC